CACAAAAAGATTTTAATCTGAAATTTTCAGAAATTGCTTTTCATAAAAATCTGAGGGGGTCCATGTTGGAATCCAAAAATTTCAGTCCTTTTGGCATGGAATAACCTATATATAAACACATTTTACAGCTATTAAATGACATATATTTTTTAAAAACTATGAAAAAAAAAAAAAATAACGAAAATTAAAGTTATACATACAAAATGTGCTCACAACCTTTAACAGTAAGTTTTCGAAATGAATCTAAAGATCCAAAATCTAAAGACTATAAACTAAGAACATTAGAAAATATAACAATATTAGTGTAACATTTTTTATCCACTATACCTTGAATAAAATGTTTTATCCACTATACCTTGAATAAAAATCAAATTTGAGAAAACTATTAAATGCTCTAGATCTTGAACATGCAACATATAGTTGACCATGAGAAAAACACGGTTTTTGAGATTTTTTTTTTTTTTTTGTCTATATGTTTAATTTGGCGTTACGATCCCTAAAGTAAAATACTTGAAACTAAAATGATTTTATTTATTACATTATTTGAACAACCAAGGGAAAATTTAAAGAATTATATCATTAAATAGGAAGCAACTTGTAAATATATCTTATAAATGGTCATTATCAATCGCAGTTTTAAAAAATACGCAAGAGCTCATTTATTACATGAGTTTAATCAATTCTCTTTGTGCTTATTCTTATACTTGGTCTCATCTAAGAGAGAGAGAAAGTGTTTCAAAAGCAGCATGTTAGAAAAATTTAAAAAGTCATGCAATAAATAACAGTAACTGGTTTTATTATGCTACCAATAAATAAAATTATTTTTAACTTAACTAAAAGTTAATTTCCAGCATTTCTTAATTAAGTTCCAGCTTCTCTCTAACTGTTGAAAAATGATTAATATAGTAAATTCACATCATATGAAATTTACAAAATTAAAATCATGTTTCAACAGTAAGCAAAATAATCAAGTGATGACAAAGACAACTAAAGAAAATGAATACAATTATGTTTGAGATTACCAAAAAAAAAATAAAAAATTAAAAACATTTAAATTTGAAACTGTTATAATTTGTTACTATAAATAGTAAAATTCATACTTTGCTTTATTTTAAAGTATTTAATTTAAAATCAAATAATAGACATCTATAACGCTTGACACTGAATTCTGGCAAGTAAGTTTTCTGTTCATCAAGCAAAATTTCTTATATTTCAACGACAATTAATTTTTTCCCGCCAAGATCTAGCTCTTTCATATGACAACAATTTCAAGTCACCCATAACCATTTACACTATAACTTTGTCGAGCCTAATATTCTACATATGTTATCATTAAACATATTACCAGTGACTATACTACTGTCACAACTGAATTAATGAACGTAAAATAATTTTAAAAAATTGTGATCTTTTCTTATCAAAGACTATATTTTAAATTAAGATTTATTGATATCCATATATTTTTATAAGTTTAAATAAGTTTATAATTGTTTAATAAAAATATAATACAAAATTTATTTACATTATTTTAATTTAGCAAAGAATTTAGACTACAATGCAAAGTTAATTTTACCTTTAGGCACAATCTTAATGCAGAATCTTGTATAAAAAATGTCAGTCTTAAGTAATATATGTATGTATGTATATATATTTAAATTTTTTTTATTATTTTTAATTTTTTCTTTATGATGATATTTATATAGACTCGCTGAGATTGACCCGTTAAAATACGGGTCTTTCCCAGTAAGCACAAGACGCATTTTGGACACTTATAGACGTCTAAAACTAGTCTGGGTAAAGACGCACTTTTATAGACGTTTTAAAGACATCTTTTAGACGTCTTTTATGAATGCGTTTTTTAAATGACCTTTAAAAGGCGTCTTTTTTAAAGATAAAAAGACGTCTTTTTTAAAGATAAAAAGACGTCTAGAAGACGTCAATTTTTAAGACATCTTCTAGACGTCTTTTATAAAGGCGTTTTTAAAATGACGTTTAAAGGCGTCTATTTAAGCGTTAAAAAAACGTCTAGAAGATATCTTTTTTTAAGACATCTTCTAGACGTCTTTAATAAATGCGATTTTAACATGACGTTTAAAATGCGTCTTTTTAAAGTTTAAAAATACGTTTAAAAGACGCGTAATAAATAGTCTAAAATACGCATTAAAAGACCTCTAGATCAAAGCTAAAAGACGTCTTTTCTGAGACCTGTTTATAAATATGTCATTATGACTTCTTTTTGACGGCTTTGTCATTACGCGTTAAGTAGATGTCGTATATTCAAAGTAAAAACATAGTTTTTATTATTTTCAATAATTTGTTCAAGTTTTAAGTGTAAATTACTTTAAATTAAATTACTTTTTTACACAATTGCTAAAATTGTTGTCACAGGAATCACTAAAATAATTGCTATAATAATAATATATCTTATTTTTATTAATAATTATTTTGCTTTTTTAATAGATAGTTGACTGATCATGATAATAAGTGAAAATGGCAAGAATAATATATAAGTTAAATATCAGTACTTTTAGTTTTTATACACCCACAAGTCATATAATAAGTCAAGTATGCGCTCAAAAATTAGCTAACAATTTGCAAGATAAATTTTAATATAACTAAAGGTAGTTATAAATGTTTTAAACAATGTTTTCATATATATTTGTTATTATTATTTATTACTTTCATCTTTGATGCATCAACCGTTGGTGGTGATTACAGCAATATTATTTTGATTGCTGGTATATACTATGTATATACGAGATTATAACAATATATGATGTTATAAATACAACGAATATATACCACATACTACGCGAAAATGTTACGTCATGTACTTAAATTTAACTTGAAAAAAACGTATAACATACGTCTAAAACGCGTTTTTATAAAGACGTCTTCATTTAGACGTCTTTTAGCCTTATGATCTAGACGTCTACAAGTGCGCCTTTTAGACCTCCTTAAAGACATCTTTAAAACGTCTTTTAAACGTCTTTGTGCTTACTGGGTTGTAATTCGATTTCAAACCAAACGTTTTATACTTTTTCTTTATTTATCTAAGGTTTCCGGATCCGTAAAACACCCGTGTTTACGATAACTATTGACCTACTATAGACCAAATCAATAGACCAAGTATATTTCAATTATGGTCTAATCACTCAAAGACCAAACAGGGCGTGGCTGACTATAGTATTTGGCCATAAGCCACGCCCTGTTTGGTCTTTGAGTGATTAGACCATAATTGAAATATACTTGGTCTATTGATTTGGTCTATAGTAGGTTAGTGTGTGTTTTCCAACTATTCCGGTGTTCTGGATTTTATTACGTATAAGTATATAAAACAATTTTTAATTTATTATTTCATTCATCATGAATACTCAAGATGGGTTACTTAATGTGTTAGAAAATATGAGAGAATTATACGATCAAGTTAGCTCTCGACGACATGCTATAGGACATATGTTGGGTGATAGCAATAGCAATACGCCATCAAGACCTGTTGTTGGACATAAAAGACCAAGACAAGTGGAACAATCTCCAATATTATTTGATTCACCAGAACAGCAAGCACAATCAACTACTTCAACTTTGTCTCAAGGTAATTCTTTAGTAACTGAAAATAATAGTGGTACACCTATACGTGCTGAAAATCATAATATACATGCAGCTGATCATCATTTCAAGCAAAGACGTACTATAAAAACTGTTCATCAATTAAAGGTTAAAAACCATGGTGATAAACCGTATTATATTCCATGGAAGTCTATGGCAACACATCCTTATGAATCAATAGTTGATGCATTTAGAGATGTTAGTAAATGGTGTCCTATAAAAGCTTCTGTAAGATTTGATACTGGTCGTGCCTTTTTAGAAGAACCACCAACTAATGTAATTGCTCAACAAAGGGAAGCTAGTGATCAAGAAATGTTATTTTTTGCTGCTGGTGATAATTCGCCTATAAATTTAACTATATTTCAATCTGGTGGTGATGCGGATTTATTGTATACACAAAGTTATGGAGGAGATGGTTTAACTTATACAGAACAACCTACAAGAAATTTAAATTATGGTTTTGCTAGTAATTCTAACATTCCAGTTACAAGAAGGGATCCATGTTGGGTTTCTAAAATTATTGGACGTCAAACTTTTGGTTATTTTGAATGGAATCATAGTTTACATGTTGATTCTCCTTGGCGTTTAAGAAATGAACTTTTTTTACCAAATGAAGGTTTTTATATGGACTTAAATAAGCCTTGGAGTGATTTATTTGTTTGGAATGTTGATAGTACATTAGAAATTAGAACGTATAGTCGTTTTGATTATTTAGCTGGAAAATGTGTACATCCTAAAGTTAATTTTATGAATTATGAACAACGTCGTAAAATGGCAGCTAGATTAGTAACTGATGAACCTAATACAGAATCAAGTGGAAAACATGCCGCTGAAGTTCATTTTGCTGATATTGAATCTTATTATTTGTTTAAACAAATGGAAGGTATTCAGACAATGATTAATAATGATTGGGATAATTATCCTGTAGATCATGGCAGACGTAGAGATGCTTGCCCTACTATTAATCCTCCTGGTTTAAATAATCAACAAAGTAAACCTTTACCCCAATCATATCATCAACAATATTTTGAAAATAATATTATGAAGCCTATAATGTTTTGGCCTAATCAATTAAAAGGAGGTGATGGAAACATTATTCCAATTGACGTAACATTTAATGTTGTTATTGAACACGAAATTGAAGTTTTAGTATCTAATAGAGAAGGTTATCCCGAAAATATATATCGTAATTTACAAAAAGCTGTGCAAGGGAACGATTTGTTTAATAATCCTGACTTAAATAAAGATTCGTCAAAAACTATATATTATTTTACTGACGTTTTTCAAGGCAATAAATATTTTGCTGATCAAAATGCAAGTTGGAATTATTATGTTCCAAATTGTTATCCTATTGTATTAAGTGATTTAAAAGAAATGAAATAAATGTTATATTATTAATATGTTTTTCTTTAATAAAAGTTTACATTAGAAATATTAAATTACAATTATAAAAAGTTAATTTATCCATTATAGGTATATCGCTGTTGCCTCTTCGTCCGAGTAGCCTTCTAATGTTTCGTCTTCTTTTATTGAAGGTCTTCGAAGTTCTTTTCTTTTTAGATATATCTGGTATAATCTGCTCATTATTTGTTGAGAGTACTCCACTATTTTTGATAAGTGATTCTCTTGTATTATTTTCTTTAACGGTGTATTCAAACTAAAAATAAAACAACGATTAATAATAGCTTCTCTTTCAGAACTGATAAATTTCCATATATCGCTAGACTGACTACCGTTCGCTGTTATAATTATAGGCGTTTTGGGTACAACCATATTATCCTTATATTTAACGTTTCCCAATAAAGCGGTGTTTCCTTCGAATAGTTTTTTAAACTCCTGAGCTATCTGCATGGTAGGTATTACTAACTCTTCACAACGTTTAATATGAGTAAATATACACTGTTGCAACCAAAACTCGCTTAGTCTATCACCGTTTGGTGCTAAAATTGAACCTACTTCATAGTTTCTATACACAGATGTTAAAAATTGAGAAAGAAACGATTTGCCTGTATTTGATGTTCCAATTAAAAATAAGATAATTTTCTTATGGTCACTTAGTGTTAGTACATCAAAAATTGAATCAAAAAAAAACATTTCAGGGTAAGAATTACTAGAAGAAACTTTTTTAAAGAAAGAAATCATTACACCAGTTAAACGAGATATTAGAGTATTATCATCAATTACATATCTATTCATTATTTTATGGAAAGGAATTACTTCAAACAAAGACATAGAACGAACATATAATTTACGTATTATTAGGGCTGTACCGGATTTAATTTTTTCAAATCCGGCCGGAGCCGGATTTGCCGGATTTCTACTGACAGATCCGGCCGGAATCGGAGCCGGAGCCGGATTTCAAAACAAAACTACAGGAGCAAAAATCCTGTACATCCCTAATTGGTGTTGAGCATGGTCAACAATGTGGACAATTCAGAATACCAAGTGACTGCTGTTTTCTGTTAAACTTCATTGTTGTTATTTAAAAAGTTTTATAGCAATTTCTATTAGGGCTGTACCGGATCTAATTTTTTCCAAATCCGGCCGGGGCCGGATTTGGAAATCTATCCGTGGCCGGATTTGGAAATCTATCCGGATTATCCGGATTAGCCGGATTTTTACCAACAAATCCTACCGAAGCCGAATTCGGAGCCGGATTTTGAAACAAAATTATAGGAGCTGGAATCCGGAACATCTTTACATGACATTGATAATGGTCAACATTGTTGACCATCCTCAATACCAAGAGACAACTGTTTTTTGTTAAATTTCATTGTTCTTATTAAAATAGGACACAATTTCACATAACTTAACATAATATAACACAACGATTGAAACTTTAATTTTAAAAGTCAAGTGAAGTAACTTCAGCTTCAGTTATTTTTCTAAATCAGTTGTCTTTAATCAGTTTTGAATTGTACTTTGGAAATATTAGGCGAGCTGCATTATGCGGCAGTAGTGAACTACGGTGTTCATTGAGGACCTCCCCAGCAACACTGAACACACGTTCTGATAGTACACTTGTCGGTGGGGCACCCAAATAAACTCGAGCTACTGTTGCCAGAGCTGGCAATCGTTGCATGTTGTCACTCCACCACTGTAGTCGATCAGCGTGTCTATCTATTTCTGGTTCAGCCAGATACTGGCTTAGCTGGGTATCCATGCCTGTTGGTAATTGTTGTTCGTGTACTGTGCCACCAACGGACGTAGACTGAATAATTTCATCAATACATCGCCAGAGTAATGATGATGTCGAAAAATTATCCATTCGAGCTTGTTTTGCTGGAACTTCTTCAATTTTGTCAATCTTCTGCTCGGCATGCTCAGATTGACTTCTATCTTGCATCGATACCTTCTGCACTGTAATTTTATTAAATGCAAGGAGAACCGCTGCTTTTGCAGCTGTTAGTGTTGCTTGTGATGAAAAGAATTTTGTTTTAAATCTTGGATCAACCAGTGTCGCCACTGTATAAAGAGGTTTCTTCTCAGTGTCTTCAAAACGCTCATCTAATGACTTAAGTAGGGTTGACTTCATAGTCTTTACACCTGCATCATTGCCTTCCTTATTCAACAAGTTCCGCAGAGCTGTTACAATAGGGATAACTAGTGATATATGTGCTGTTTCAAAGCTAACTTCACGAGTAGCCTCTTCAAACGGAGCCAGCACACATACTGTATTCTCAGCCACAGACCATTGATATGCAGTTGGACAAGAATTTCCTTCTACTTCTGAACAGTAGACAGTTAATGCACGACGCTGTTCACATAGTCGACGCAGCATGTAAAACGTTGAGTTCCATCTTGTACTAACGTCTTGTATAAGCTGGTGGTCAGGTAAACAAAGTTCAGCCTGCAGCTCCTTGAACCGACCAGTAGCAGAGGAAGAATGCTTAAAATGACCAACTAATTTCTTTCCAATACTTATTATATTGGATACTGCCGGCTGGCTGAGCAAGCCATCATGCACACATAAATGAGTAGTATGTGCAAAGCACCCGAGGCTTTCTATGTTGGCATCACGGAAACATTTTGATATGTTTGCCGCATTGTCTCGAAGTACGACATGACAGCGTCCAACGTCAATGTTCCATTTGCCAAGCATCTGCTGAAAGGCAGTCATTAGTGCAGAAGCAGTATGATGTCCAACAAATGGCATACAATATAACAAAAAGCTCATGTTTTCAAAGTCCTCTGTCAGCCAGTGGGCAGTTAAGCCCATGAATGATTGTACAGTATTGCCTGCTGTCCATGTATCAGTGGTAAATGACCGAAACGGAGTAGATGCTGGATCTAGCATTACCAACAGTTGAGCACACACTTCATCGTTTATTTCAGGAATTAATCGCTCTGCAAAATATTTTCGTGATGGAACAGTGTACCGCCTCTCTAAAACTCTCATCAGTTCAACAAAGCCTGTCTTCTGAACAACTTGAATCGGTTCCATATCTGTTATAATCATCTTAGCAATGGCGCGATTAATTCTCATTGATGAGCTGCTATTGAAATCCCATATTTTCATGCGTGCAACATGTTCTGGGTTTGTGTACTGGACCACGGCTTTACTGGTTGTGGCAGTTGCACCAGGTTTAACATTTGACAGTGCTACAGTTTCGGCTTTTTTCTGTGAATCAGCAATTTTTTTTTGCATTTCGTCGTATTCATTACGATGTTTTGAACGAAGATGTGTTAACATGGACGAAGTTGAAAACTTTTTAGGTTCACCAGCTTTACCACGTGACAAAATGCTGGGACACAGCAAGCACTGGGATTTTGAGCTGTCCCCATCCTTTAATTTGAAGTATTCCCAAACTGGACTGATTTTCCCTTTGTCTGCCATCTTGTTAAAAAAAGTTAAAAACAAATCTTATAAATGACTATACAATTTTTACAAAGTAGTTAAATGTAAATTCTAAACATAAATATAACTAAATGTTAAAAGATTATTTATATTATATTCATAATTATATTTGCAATAAACACTTTGAAATGTTGTTTATATTATGATATAATATTTTGATTAAACATGAATGATTTGATTAGGTAAAACGTTTTTGAATCAAGTGACATATTACTTCCGAAGATTGTTTACAATAACTACATTTTATTTAAATTATCAAAGAAAATATTATATTATTAAGGTAATTTTAATAATTAAATACAATAAATAATTTTATTTTTTAAATAAGTATATTCTTACAAATTTAAATTTTTCAGAAATGTTTCAACGAATAATTTTACCAACGACGTCAACTTTTCCCCTTTACAAGACAACACGTTTTTTAAACTTTAACTTAAAGTTTAAGTTAAGAAAAACATGATTTTTCGCGCGAATTTTTTTTGCTCAGAAGTCATTAATTTTAATTGTTGAAATAAACCCAATTGATGACTTCTGAGTGAAAACGTTTGTGTGAAAATTAAAGTTGCTTTAAATGAATAAGTTAAATGATAAAATTAATACGAAGTAGTTTTTTGCATTGCTTGTAATATACTTATATAATATACATTATAATATACATTTAATTTTATTAAAAATAAAAATTATTATAGTAAAAATTGAACTATATTATTACTATAAATGTTAGTCACATTTATAATATATTGTTTTATTTTATTTTTATTGTTCTATTTTATTCAAATTTATAATACATATTGACCTCACTTAGACATGCCTCAAATTATAATATATATTTATCCACGTTTGTGTTTTCACTTCAGACTCCCTCTTGTGTTTTCATTTTAGAATACCATGTCTACTTTTCAGAATTTTTCGTTGAACTGTTCTTTGAAATTAGGCTTGATTAGTTTAATTGTAAAGAAATACAGATACCATCACTAAAATGGAGTTCATTAGTTATAGAATTTCAAAGAAAATTGATTTGTCTAAATAAAATTTTAAGTATAAATGTCAACACGGGCAAAAAAAGGTGTAATAAATATTTGACCAAAATTCCTAAATCCGGCTAAAATTTAGCCGGATTTGCTACATTTTTACCGGAGCCGGATTTGGGCCGGATTTGTAAAAATGGCCGGATTTCGGCCGGAACCGGAGCCGGAGCCGAAATTCGGTACAGCCCTACTTATTATAATGTTTACTTGGTTAGAAGGTAATTTACTATGAGAATTTAAAAAATCTTTATCATATCTTAAATAATATAAAAGCATAGACTGGTTAGTGATTTTGTATTTTAAAAATATATCACAAAAATTATTATAATTATTATTAGTTAATCTAGTTGAAGAACTTTCTTTTATAGGATCAAAACACAAATCGTTAAAATCACAATTTCTAACAATCTCATTTACCTTGTCAATGTTTTTAATTGCTTTTGGAGGATGATTCTCTTCGTTTTTCTGCATATTCTTGCGCTTTTTCGAGCTTGTTATTGATGAAGTCGATATGTTCGTCATAGGTTGGGCTTTTGTAGATTGGATTTGAAAATAATTCGATAAGGGTGCCTGGCTCTTCGGCATATTCAGCGTGAATGCACTGGGCACAATTTTCACAAGATTCTGCACACTGCTCTGCCTTATAGGACACTTTCTGAAGGATATAAGCTTTGCAAGATTCATAATACTCTGAGGTGTCGATGATTTTAAATGAATATGAGAAATTACAATCCTGGCATTTTCTAGGGTTAGCTGAGCGACTGCGGCTAACGCATCCATCACAAGTTGTTTTTTTATGAGTGTGGTGGTCCAAACATGGGAGACTATTAAATAAACTTGGCTCGACATAGCAAAACTCACATCGACCTCTTCCAAGAGCCGTGAACAAATGCCTTCCCACAACGTTTGGGTCAATTGCGAAGTTTCCAGAGCTTTTATTGTATGGCAATAACATAAGAATGTGTAAATGACTTCCACGACCGCATCCGATGTGACGGGCAGTAATTTCCGTTTTTCCAAACCGGCGCATATTGCTGCTGACACCACTAGACATAATATGGACCGCTCTTCCCCCGCATTTTTCATCATTTCGAACAGCACTGACATCCATTCCTGATCCAATACATTGTTTTGGTGAAACTGAATCATTTCGTTTATAACGTTTCGAATTTGTTTCTGAATTACTACATCCTTCTCGTTTTTCAGATCTTGCACTGCTGCGCAGTAATCTTTAAATAAGTTATAATAACACTCAAAAGTTTCGTTGCTATTATTTGGAATATAACAGTCTACATTTACTTTATAATCATACCCAGACTTGGTGATATCCTCTTCTTCTTCATTTACATCCTGCTCATTTACATCTTGAGTTGGATTTACTTGAGGAGTTGATGGAATTATATTTAAATCAACATCATCGTTAAAATAATCATTAGAATCTAAAGTAGACATTTTGATGTTACTTGTACAACAATTTAAACTTGAATGAATTTTGTTAAAACGCACCCTATTTTGATACATATTCCTTATTTGCTTCAATATTTTTTAGTAAAATTTTGATCTGCCAAAATGAGCAAAAAATTAACATGCGCACCTTTTCCGCATACGTAGAGCTTATAAGAGACTTATAATTAGGTATTTTTCATTTCATTGATAGCTCAGTGGTTATATGCGCTGTCATCAGTGTTGTTTTGGAGGGTTCAAGACCTCCTCTTAGCGTAACAAATTTCGAAAAATTTTTAATCTTGCTTATATATTCATAGCAAAAAAATAAGAATATAGAAATAAAGGTTCTAAAATTAAAAAGTTTCCTCATTTAATAGATATACGCGAATATTGTATATAAATTGACATTGTAAAAAGAAAAACTAACAATTTTTAGAGTTATATAAATAATAATAAAAAGATTAGTATATTAAAAATATAGCATTTTGAACCAAAAATATGATTATAATTATAAATAGAAAATTAAATTTTTTTGCCATTTTTGGAGATAAAAGCTTATTATTCTTATCTACCGATATGCTTTTTTGATCATACCAATTGATATTACTCATATGCTGTCATGACCCGTAAAATACGGGTCATTGTAAATTTAGTCCACACTGACGTTTTCTATACTTTATCTTTTTATATATCCTATCTATCTGGACTTTAAAGATACGCACGGCTGTTTCAAACCGAGCTTAACGGCTTCTTGTTATTTTTGAAAATATTGATTTAAGGGGTGTTACTAAAACTTCTATAACTTTTAAAATATTAAAAATAATTTTGTTTTGTTAAAAGAATAAAAACACCAATAAAATGTTTCATCTTACGACATTTAATGCATAACTAAAAAAACTTTTTCAAAATTAAGTTTAAGTTGGCTGAATTCAAGTAATTTGATGTTACTTTTTATCAAAAAAAATCAGAAAAATTAATTTCTGATAGTTATTCTCAAATATATCCATTGTTTGACTATTATAAAAACAAAAAAAAACCTTAATTGTTTAAGGATAGCTAAAACAGACTTTATTGAGGTCTGAAAGCAAACCGCACTATTCGCAAAGTTATGAAAGATGTAGTTAAAAGGGGGATTAGCTGTTAAAAGAGTTCGTTTTTAAACCTAGGAGTTCTTATTTTAGAAACTTATTTTCCTAAACCAATAAATTCATTGCATTGAGAAATAAAGCCAGATTTCGATTTTGGAATATTTACTCAAAACATTTAAAGCTTAAGCATTTATTTTTTTTGTGCATACAGTTCTAATAATATGGTGTTAAGTTGTTAATAAAAAGAGACTCACCAAGTCTAATAAAATAATTCATGACCAAATTTGAGTTTAAGTTTTTGAATTAACCTCGCTTTTGGTAGTAGAATTATTTTATAGCACTTGAATCTATAGTCTCTTCTCTCAGTAAATAAAGTGTTTGAATATACAAATAGCTAATTGAAATCTTTTGAAAATTTGATTTTATTCCCATTAAAAACTGTTCTATAATCAGTTGGTTTATTGATAGGTTCTTTAAGTAGTAAACTATCATTGTACATCCAATTGATATCAGATTCATACTCATGCTGAACCAGAAAAACAATTGCTCCACGTTTACAAATTCTTAATTTATTGAACTAAATTTTTACACCAACTTGATATGAGATTTATATTCCATTCTTAAACCAGCGAGGAGGTATGTAGAGCAGAGGTACTGCAAAGGTAGAACTAACTATTGGTGATAAACATCAAATGGATATGTAATATATTTATAAAAAAATGTTACATATAATAAAGGACAATACATTTTTTCAATTAAATACACAAACATACAAGATCATACCCAACCAACATACCAGTTGCTCTTATCACAAGTTAATATATAAAAGCTAGATTTTTACATACATTTGATGCAAGACTAGTATTCCATTCTTTAACCTGAGCGAAGGTATTGCATAGGTATAAATAACTTCTGAAGATAGGAACAGAATGGGCACCTACCTATTATATAAAATCAATATATTAAAAAAAAATATTTTAAACTAACATTACACAGATATTAGAACAGAATAAAATTATCTTATATATAAATTAAAGATCTCAAATAATTTATCTTACTTGTAATTAGTTTTTTTATTGTTTTTAATTTTTTAAATATTTATACTAAATTTGATGACCACAAACAAGACAAAGACTTTGTCTATAAAATAAATTTTCGCCACGCTCTGAACACACAACACACTTTCTCACCTTAGGGGCTTTTATTGCACATTTCTTGCTGCTTACAGGTTATTTTTTTATTGGAGGAGTTTAGAGATAATTCAGAAATGTTTTTATTAAAAGCTAACCAACGCGCCTGTAGATTTGCAATGTCTACAAATTGATTTCCTAATAAACGTAAAGCCTCTGCTGTTTTAGCAGCCCACAATTCATTCGTTCTCACATTCTCATTATGCGACAAAGACGAAACAGCTTGACAATCTAAAGTCTTACACTCCTTCAACAATAACTTATACAGTTTTAACACAATTCCTAACATAATATGCAAAACAGGTGGTACTACATTATCTAAAGTTATTATGGGGAAAATCACAGGAGCAATAATTGAATTATGAAACATACCTAAAGTTTTTAGGTTTTCATCTTGTCTATTTTCACACAAGTTCTCATTGTAAGCACTTTCCAGAGATTGTATTGTCCTCCTTAAGATGTTACAATTAGCAGGTGTGAGAGGCATAGAAGCATGATTTCTTAGAGAATTCAACTTAACTAGGTCTGTAGAACCAGGAAAGCTAGCAGCTGAACCCAGAACATCATCGATAAAATGAAAATCTCCACCTAAGAACAACCTGACTATTTTGCCTTTTAGCTTAAAATCTGACGACTGAATTCTTTTAATGTCGTTGGCAAAATGCCCGAAAACTAAGGCAATATTCTCACGACAGTCTGAACCCTGATACATACAAAACAAGTGAACATCGTATACAGACCCTGATGATTTAGAATTGACAACTTCAAAATGATATTTCATATACTTCTCACCCTTATCACCAGCTAAAAGGAGCCATACTTCTTCGCCAAAACCGACATCCGAATTAAGGTGGTCGCGTACATAAAGATTAGTAAAAACCTCTTCAATATAAGTTGTCAAATTCTTGACCATCAGTACAGATACTAAACAAGGTACTTCATTCGCAGATGGAAAAAGTAACAGTGACATGTTCTTTATTGACATGGATTGTCCGCATTTCTTGTTCTTGTCTTATCTTGGGCTCAGATGGGAGAATCCTTGCACCAAGATTACACAGAATACATCTTAGTCTACGGAATTCAGCCGTGGGTATCCTTAATTTGCTCTGTAACTCTACAACATCAGAAACACTTAACTGCTTAACTGAACCCAACTTATTTGTAACACAACAAAATATTGACTTTTTACAAGACATAGAATCACAAAACAACATAGAAAATCATTTATTATATATAATATATTTATATATAATTTATATATATATATATATATATATTTATATATATATGTTTATATGTATACATACTTATATATATATATATATATATATATATATATATATATATATATATATATATATATATATTTATATATATATATATATATATATATATATATATATATATATATATATATATATATATATATACATATATGTATATATATATATATATATATATATATATATATTTATATATATATATATATGTATATATATATATATATATATATATATATATATATATATATATATATATATATATATATATATATATATATATATATATATATATATATATATATATATATATATATATGTATATATATGTATATATGAGTGTGTGTGTGTGTGTGTGTGTGTGTGTGTGATATATATATATATATATATATATATATATATATATATATATATATATATATATATATATATATGTGATATATATATATATATGTGATATATATATATATATATATATATATATATATATATATATATATAATTATATATATTTGAACAAACAGAATTAAATGAGAGTGTTAATGTTCCAATCTTCAATTCCCACTTTGTGCTACCGAAAGAGAACTAATTTATAATGAAATGGATAGTCTTAGAAGTGAAAAAGCAAAAGCATTGGAGCAACTAGAAGAACAAAGTTGTGCATTCAGTCCATTGAAGTTTTCTTCTTTGGAGAAACAGCCTGAGAAATGAAGTATGCTGACAGGTTTGAAATTTTACGGGTTATGTTGTGTTATTAACTATATTTCGACAGAGAAAAAAAAATTTTCTCAAACTCAACTACATAAGATGGTTCTTGAAGATTAAATTTTATTTACTCTTGTAAAGCTAAAATACAAGACGAGTTTTGAGTTTTTATCATATTCATATGGAATATCAAAGTCTACTGAGATTAAATATTTCTGGAGTTGGGTAGACATTATGTATTCAAAGTTATCTTTTCTTATAAGAATGCAAGATAGAGAAACAACATTTGAAACAGTTCCTGCAGTATTCAAAATCAAATTTCCACGACTGACATGCATTATAGACTGTTTTGAATTATTTATTGAATCTCCTAGAAATTTGTTTGCTCAAACTCAATGTTTTAGTCATTATAAAAATCAATGTGCAATAAAAGTATTTGTTTCGTGTTCCCCATTAGGAGCAATAAATTTTATATTTAGATGTTGGGGTGGAAAAGTATCTGACATTCAAATAGTACATGATTCAGAGTTTGCAACAAAAAAATATCATATGCCTGGTGATCAAATTCTTGCAGATAGAGGATTTACATTAAAGGATGACTTTGCAACTGGAAGTTGTTCTGAATTGTTAATTCCTTCTTTTACTAAATGGAAAAAACAGCTTTCCGCCAACGAAGTAGAAATATCAAGAAAAATTGCATCAGTAAGAATTCAAATTGGAAGAATTATTGGGCAGCTGAAGAATCGATATTTGATTTTAAAAGACATTCTTTCTTTAAGAACAGTTAAAAATATAGCAGATGAATCATTTGATTGACACTTATCTAACTGTGATAAGATTGTTAGTGTTAGTGCAGCTTTAGTAAATTCAGGTGAAAGCATTGTCTGTAGACAATAATATAAAATTATTTTTTGTTTATTGTATATAGCATTGGCAATAAATTAGGCAATGAATTATATCATTTTTGTTTTCTTATCTTTAACGAATTTATTTTTTTTTAATGCAATTCATTTTTGCATTTTTTTTACTATTATTTTAAAACCAAACTTTGCTTAACAAAAATATATGGCGGGGGGAGGGGGCGAGTAGTTGATGATTAAAATAATTGCGCAAAATTTTAAATTGATTTGTTTATCGGAAAAAAAGTGGGATTATAATGAAATTTAGATGAAGTTTGAATGGTGTATAAAATTTGCCTGAGGCGTAAATAAGTTCCTAGTAGTAAACTTCAAAAGTTTACGGTAAAAATTACGTGTAAATTGCAAATATTTATCGTTAAATTTCCAAATTTTACCTCACATTGTATTTACGGAATATTTTTATATAAAAAAAACAATTGAGTTTTAAATGAAGTAAACATGAAATACTGTAATTTAAATAATTTATTTAATGAATAATATAGCTTGTATTAAATGCTTTAGTAAACCTGACGGGCTGCACCAGTCATGTTTACTTCATCATCAGTCATTTAATTCAACACGACAACCAGTTCAGCATGTTTTTTTAACTGAATTACCAGTAAATGAATAATGAATGAATAAAGTAGTGTGGTTTGCTCTGTTGTTTTTACACTTGCCCCTATTATGCTAACTGTTTCAGATTAAAATGCAGCTCCTAAAGTTTAAACGACTTTGCTAATATCTAGATCGGTTTACAACCGCCGGGTCACTGTCAGTGCCTAGATAAACAACAAGTGAATAATTGAAATGATAGAGAGCAGTTTTTTTAAAATTGAATTGTACTTTTCTGGTACACTACCCTTCAAAAGGTTATCAATATGCAAAGTTTCTACTGTTTCAAAGAATTCGTTTCCTTATGGCTGCTTCGTTTGTAACGCATAAATTAAATAAAAAACTTATTTGTGAAATTGTAGGTTTAATTCAACTATTTTTATTTGCACTTTGTATAGTAAGAGTAATTTTTGTTTATAGTGTATTGTTCGTTTTTATTTAAAATATAAAATCTACCTGAACTAATTTCCTCTCTAAGAGATTTATCTCGTAATGAAATCGAACATTTAATCTCCACAACGCCATATCCACAACAATCACAAAACACAACAGCATCAGGTAAAGCACCAATCCATGGTTTGTCTAAAATGAGGCACAGACCTATGTCCTTCACGTTGATACCTCTGTGTATTTTTTTTTTACTCAAACAAATAGTTTCTGAAACAAAGTTAAGGTCACTATAAATATTTGTATACAACTTTTTAGCCTCATATTTATGTTGAGTACCCCATAAAAGAGCTTGGGTCTTTATTTGAGGTAGCTTTGGATTGCATATTTTATTAATCAATGACCGAGACGGAGATCCATAGTTGTATGAAGATCTTGATGTGATAAAGAAGCAGTTATTCGATCACATCGTTGCTGATACCATGTTAAAAATTTTGACTGCTTCTTGTAAATTCTTCTAATTAAACTGCTTCTAACTCTGACACTATAAGTTTCTTTTTAGTTTCTTTACATAAATTAGTTAGTTGGGCATCATCTAGTGATGCAAATACTTTGTTATAAAGACGATTGTATGATATTGGAAGTTTTGGACAAATACAAACAATGTCATTTGAAGCAAATGTTGATGAGTATTGACTAAATAGTGATAGTCCAACAATATTAGGAATAATGGTATGATCTATATACTTTTTTTTTCATCAAGTGTTGGCTTTACACAACTCAATTTTCTTTTTTTAGTAAACTGTTGCTTGGCTTTGGAACTATATAATTTTATATTTGCTACAGGTGAAGCTAGCACATTCTTATTAAAACTTTGGTTCCATTCACAAGGAACGTCAGTTGGTGTACACTGTGTCATTCCGATTCAAACAGCAGCTTCAATTTTATATAGAGTCGCAGCAACATGTGAGCAAGTGTCACCAAGGCTTAAAGTATGTAAAAAAAATTAATAATATTATCTTTAGTTTTATCGGCATTTTTATTCAGCATTATTGTTAGTAATAGACAGTTTAAAAATCAGTAAATATTCCTTATTGTGATTTTTTAAATATTCCTTATTGTGATTTTATATTATTTTAAACATTAATTAAATCTATCAATACAATATTTATCTAATTAAGCAATTACCCAGCCATGTAATCACTATGTGCAGCTAAAACATTTCCATCCTCATTTAATGCTTTCCAAGGATTATGTGAATTTTCTATACTCCTATAGAATGGTCTAACTTGGCATTTCATAAAAACTACTTTGTTAGGAAGGATCATGTATTCACTGGTTTGTACCTAACCAGATATAAAGAGGTTATGAGCTTCTTATGATTTATAATTTTCCATAGCCTCTGAACTAAACACACCTTTAATAAATAGTATATTAAAGTATATTAAAGGAGTGACACAAAACATTATTAAAATATATTATTTAAAACTTTATTTATAAACTATAACAATAATTCTTTTTGCAGCAATCTAGCTTTATGTTTTTGTTATAAGAAACAAAAGATAAATACAGTTGAAAAAAATAGAATATATACAATTAAAAAAAAATTCGAATTCTAAATTAATCTACACTTTTAAGTTAAATTCTTTATTTATCTATGGTAATAAAAATAAATAAAAAAACAATAAAACTTAACATAAACAACTTACTAGGGGTCTTTATTAGGTAATAATAAAGATGATGATAATTTAATGAGGGCCATTTAGTTGGATCGTCTTCCCAAGAGTCTGCAGGAAACTTATAGAGACACTTTTCAATTCCTAGAAAATGATAAACGCATATTTTTTAAAACAATAAAGTTTATTTAGACAAATAAAAAAAAAAAAAGGAAAATATTTTAAATTCTTTTGTTCCTTTTTTTTTATAATTTAAAAAAGTCATATTTGCAAACTTTCCAAAAAATATTACATATTAGATAAGATAGAATTAAATGTCTAATTTAACAATTATACTAAGTAGAAGGCACAAAAAACACAAACATAATTTATAACAGATTTGATCATATTTGAAGATATTCAAATTAATGATTTTAGAAATACAACAATTTCTAACCTATAACTGATAATTTTGCTGCATAACGCATTAAAGTTTCATTAGGTAATTCTTCTGCGTAGCTGTAACTTATTTTATAACTTGTTGTAAACGTTGATTCAATCTTTTTAATCACTTCTTCACTTTTCTCAAACTTTTATACTTGAACTTTTTTGCATAATTTGCATAATTTAACTGTCTTACGGTTTATAAGAAAGTATAGACGACTTTTATAATTAAATTTTGTCGTTTTTTTTTATTATATTTTTTTTTATAATACAAAATTTCGACATGCTTATAAACGTACATGCATAATAAACATACAATGACATCGCAAATCATCCATTTAATAATGCTTACTTCTAAAGAATTTACTTACTAATTAACAATAATTTATCATTTAGTAAAGCTTAATTAGGTCCTTAGAGATAAAAACACAGCGTAAAAATGTTTGCATTGTTAACTAAACTCAAATGAAGAAAAATAATTTAACCGTAAACATTAAAAATAATTTATTAATTTCTAACGTTTACACTTTTTAAAACATTTCACGAATGCTTCTATTTCGAATGGGGTGAAAACATTGCAATCACGTGACAGCCTCGACCTAATCCATATCAACGCAACAACAACAACAAAACAGAACATATTTTATTAACTAAACATTAAAAAGGTCAAACTTTAGTAGCTATGAAAAGAGATTGAAAAATTACAAAATACAATTATAAATAAAATTTATAAATGAGAGTATATTCAACAATTATAATTTTTACGATAATGATTAAAGAGATATTCAAAGATATTTAGAGATTTATGAAATTTAAAAAAAGGAACTTAAATACCTCTCGCGTGCGCATCTACAGTGCATCGTGCGTCACAAGTTCAAAGCTGTCGTTTTAGAATGTTTAACAGGGCGTTGTTAATTAACTGTAAATCTTATTATTTTAAAATTAAATAGTTTTAACTTTTAATTATTTTTAAAAACAATAAATTTTTTAATATAATTTAGTTTAAATAGAATATTAAAATTTTTAATTATGTTCTTAATAAAAACATACTTTTTAAAACCCCTTACCGTTTTAAAAAAGTTTAGGTCGCCGCGTGCCAAGTTTCTCGGCTTGCTTAAAATGCAAATCAAAAAACTTTATAGTTCTATAGATTTTACTTCTATATATAAACATGTTGTTTACTAATTTTCCCTGCACGAACTCAACGTAGTTGTAAATAAACTTGAAATATTAAACTAAAATAAAATGAGTTTAATATTTCAAGTTTATTTACAACTACGTTGTAAATAAACTTAAAATCTAAATAATAACACATACGCAAAAAAAATAAAAAAGTCGCCGGTGGTAGAAATCGAAAACCACGGTTTTCTTGTTTCTCAGAAACAAGAAAACCGTGGAACCGATAATCTCAGCGCGCTAACCACTCGGCTATGCAAACACGCTTTAAATGAAATTTTAAAATTATATAAAAATTGTGTTTAACGGATATAGATGCTATAGAACAGAAATTAAGAAGAGGTTGACGCGATAGAGTTTTTAAGTGTAAATCAAACTTTAAAACTTGAATTATGTTTAAGCATATTTTAACGTTACATAACGTGAAGTTTACGGAGGTACGATAAAAGTTTTACGTTTGCTCACGTTTTCTTATAAAGCAAAGTTGAGACTCTTTTTTGCAATATCTCGGTTGCAATGGCTGCCAAGGGTTTCGTGTCAAATTCGCTCCAAGGGACACTACTACTATTAAAACTAAAACTACTAAGTTCGGCACTAATATATAATAGATAAATAGATCCCAGCCGGCACAATGACGTTGAAAAACGTTGAAACAACGTCGCAAACAGACCATATGCCACGTTGAAACAACGTTGAAATTTGGTTGTATAGGAAATAAAATCCGACGTCGAAAACTACGACGTTGAAACAACGTCGATGATTACGTCGTTTCGACGTTGATCTAACGTCTTATCGACTACATATCAACCATATTTCAACTTTGAATAGGTGATATATTCGATTGATACGTAGTTGATAAGACGTTAAAACAACGTTGAAACAACGTAAATTCAACGTTAATTTTTGTTTTTTATTTTGGTTAAATCCAATTAACTAAAAATTTTTTTCAACTTTAATTGCAATAAATTAACACAATAAAAAAGCAATAATTTGCGCAGAGGATATTATATTTCACGTAAATTAATCAGATACAACTAAATTGCTTCAACGGACTTTATATACAATGCAAATAAAATAAAATGTTTGAAAAAATAAAAGTTTTATTTATCAGTATTATATTTATCAATTTATCAATAATAACTATTATCAATAGTTCCAGAACAACTAGGAAAAAGTATGAATGTTGTACATCGGGTTAATCGCCTTTTACGCGCCGACCACCACCATTTGATCTGTCGAGTGCGTATTTTAATAAATTCATTGTTCCTTTTCTTATTTTGGCAACTGTAGCAGTCACTTTAATTGACAAAACTCTCTCTATAAAAAAGGTATTGCCTGAGTAATTTTCATCAAATACATCAAAAAGTTAAAAATAAAATAGCATTAAAAAAACGAACTGTGATTTTTAAAAATATATAATTTTACACTTAACTTACAAGTAAATACCTAATGTTTGTTCCTTTAAATTTATCTTTACCTTTACCGTCAGCCATATTAAATTTTGATTATAAACCATTGGTCAACAACCTACATTATACATTGTTATTAATATCATAGTAACAAAAATTGATATACATGTCTTTTACAAAATACAAATTATTCTTAATGAAAAATAGCACAAAGGTTTCTTACCAAAGGTTTCTCACCCAACGCAAAAGGTTTCTTACCAAACCGTAATGCAAGTAAGAAAAATAATTCATACAAGGGAAGAGTTTGGTCCAAAGAGACCACCTTCTAAACGCAAGAAAACACCAAGAGCGGACAGTATAATCAGAAATATCTGCCTGGAAAAGAGAAAAAAAGCCACTAAGCTTATCCATGAAGCTGTAATTGTTGTGTCAGACCAGACCATTTGTAGAAGGCTTGAAGAAGAGGGATTGATGTCCAGCCGAAAATGTCAAAAATTGACAAAAAAATTTAAAAATAATGTCAAAAATCTTATATTTATGCAAGATGGTGCAACTTGCCACACAATAAAAACTGTTATGGCTTAGTTGATGTATTGCTATAGCCAGACAACTCGCATGATCTTAACCCCATAGAAAATATTTGGGAAATAGTAAAGCAAGAGATTGGAAAAAAAAAATCTTACCAATAAGCAAGATCTTATGGAAGAGATTATCAAGATCTAGCATAATAACACAGAGTTGACAGAAACTATAAAAAATAAATTGCAAGCATGCCACAATGCAATGAAGCAGTTATTGCAAAAAAAAGTGTTTTTGCAAAATATTTATACTTTATATATACAGTTGTGTGACAATTTATTATGGCCACCTATGAGTTTGATCATTTTGAAATTTAATCTCATTTTTTTCATATGAAGAGTAAAAATTCATTATTGAAAGTTAATCTTCTGTTTAAAATAAAGTTTTAACTTATAAAATCAATGCTTTTTTTTTGCTACTGGCAACACTGTCATTTTTGACAGGCATTTTGTATGATGTCATCTTATTTATAATATTTTTGCTGTACACTTGTTAAGTTTTATTACCAGAGTTTTGAATTCTTTTATTAGGTTATCGTCATATTACTTATTTAAATCAGTAAAAATTTCTTGAATATTTCTTTTTATTTTAAATTAAAAATAGTTGTATTTAGTTTGATATTTTTTTAATGTTATGAGTGCCAAAGCAAATTCTTAACTGTTATGTGATACTGATATGTGATATCTTATTTTAGTTATGAGGGAAAAAAAAAACTTGTCACAAAAAATTGCTGAAATCAGGGCACTTTTAATAAATACTGATCATTCTCAATGAAAAATAGCCAGAAAATATGGTATTTCGCGGGTATCTGTACAAAATATACACAAAAAAATGCTAATATGGAGAACTTGATGCCAAAGAGGGTTGGTAAATGTGGAAAGAAGAGAATCCTAACACCATGCAGGAAATGAATACTTACCAAGATTGTTCCAGAAAAAAGACGGGCCACCAACAACAAAATAACTAATAAGCTGGGCCAATCTGGAGTCAAAATGTTGAAGAGAACGGTCCAACATTGCCTACACAATCTTGGTTACATTTCACGACGTCCAGCTAAGAAGCCTAAACTGACACCAAAAATTGTACAAAAATGCTTGAGTGGACAATTAAGTATAGGAATTTAACATATGATTGGTAATTAATAAAATTAATTTAGATGAATTTAAAATTTCCACTTTCTTACACCAAACTTTAAATATTCATTCAATATTCACTTAACAATCCTTGTATAATATTTGAAGGTATGCTTCAGCGGCGAGAGTACTTTTAAGTTTTAAAAAGAAAAAAAGGGAAAAAATACTTATTGGACTGCATCATGCAAACTGTTAAACACCCCACCTCTGTGATGATCTGATCAATGAAATATGTAAAAGAAATAGGAAGGTTCTATATTGCAGAATGAAAAATGTTACAGTTACAATATAAAAATGCTGGAACAAAGATTGTTGTCACAATTGGCAGAATAGTTTAGTCCAGGTGAAAAAAAAAAGCCTTCATGCAGGACAGGGCATGACCATGTCGCACAGCTAAATCAGTTAAAAAATATATATCTATCAGAACAAAATATTCCATTACTCAATTGGCCAGGAAATTCTTCTAACCTAAATGCTATAGAAAATGTTTGGGCGCTCCTAAAGAAGCAAATATCTGAAAAAATTATTACAAATAAAGTGTATTTAATAGAAAGAATTATTCAACATTGGAACTATAATAAAGAATTGAAGGAAATGACTCAAAAATGCATTAAAAGTATGCCAAAAAGGGTTCCTGCAATTATAGAGGCAAAGGAGGAATCACCAAATATTGACCTTGAATATATTTGCAGTAATATTTGAATAATAAAATTTATTTAATTTGAATAATAAAATTTGTTTAATAATATTTTAATAATAAAATATTAAACAATATGTTAAATATTTTTATTTGTCAAAAAAATACCCATTTCTTAAATAAAAGTTACTTTGAGTACATAAATCACAAAAAAATACTATAAAAGT